GAAGGTTTTGGTATCAGTATCGACATGACCGCGTAGTTCAGGTAATTCTTACTACAGTGTAATGCCTATGAAATGTGTTGGCCTTGGACCCTTTGTTTCTTGGGTAATTTTTACAATAAAGCATTGTTGCCCAAATGCCAGGAGCATGAGAGGTGACTAATGTCATTTCTCTAAGCCAAAGGAATAGAGTCACAAGCAGGGGCGGACTGACAACTCATGGAGCCCCCAGGCAGTAGGGGATCATGGGACCCCTGTGTCCTTGCCCACCTTCAAAGCACACCCAAAAAAGCCTATAAAAAGGTACTAGGGGCATTTCATGGGGCCCCCTACTGACCCCGGGCAGTGCCCGAGTGCTCGAATGGTCAGTCCGCCCCTGGTCACAAGATATTCTGCTTAGAGTAAGATAAAAATCTTGTCACATTAGAACATAAGAATTTGTTTAAAGACGTCTACTTGCTTGATAAGTTAGAAATCTTTAGGATAGATGAGAATAAGTTTGGGGTAGATGAGAAGAGGTTTAGGGTACATAAGAAGCAAAAATGTGACTTTTCAGATAACGATGTGGGATCAATATGGTGGTTGAGCGTGACTCTGTTATCCTTGCAGAACCTTTCTGCTAGCTCCTCCTGTGGTGGGTGTGGCGCCTGCCCAGTATTGGAAAGCTTCCAAAAAAATGGTTTAAAAGCCGGGAATTCAGGCGAGATTGATTAGGAAGCCCCCAAGTTGCCAGGGGACGCTCTGCTGCTGGGATTTTTGCCATGGCTATATGGGCTCATCAGTCGATCGCAATTACGGCTTCCCTGTGACCCCCCTGGGCAGTATGGTTCCGATGGCATTTGTACCTTCCAGCTTCTAACATAGCTTTGGTAATGTAATAATGCTATGCTGTGACGCTGTCAAATGATATGTCCATTTCATGCTGTAATGCTCACATTATTATTGGTGTGTGTTATTATGCAGATTATGATGACTATAAGATATATTCTGTGTGTCACGTGATAATAAAAGTGGAGGTTTTGACAGTGGAAGGATATTGCAGTTGGATTCTGTTATTTCTTGGAGTACCGAGCAAATGCTATGATGTGCCAGGGCAGGTATTCATTTGGTAGAGGGTCTTTCACATGCGTAGAATATGTAATGCTATAAATGCTGATTAAAAGTACCTGTGTGCGACTACCTGTTGATTGTGTGCGACTACCTGTTGATTGTGTGTGTGTATATGACTTGATTTTAGTTATTGCACCCAGCATTTGTATTACATACAGCAACTTTTAGACCCTGTTGTTATTATCCCAACAAATGCTAAAAGAATTACCGCCAGTTTGCAGATAAGCAATCTCTCCTAAAAACGTTTCATGCACTATGATTTTTTTTTTCTGCAGGTTGGATAGAAGGTTATGAGAAGTCCCTCATTGATGTTGCTGAACTCCAAGCTGAAGTTGAGCAATACATGCAGGAATATGACAAGAAAGTTGCAGAGGTAAGATTTTAAAAACTTTTTTTTTTTTTTCACAACTTAGCAACAAATAATATACAGAGAGTTAACATGGTTACCTTAAAAAAAGAATTTTCAAACAAACCATCTCTGACTTCTATAGCTGCATGTATTGTGAAGTAATTCATTCTCAAAGATCTTTAACCCCTTTAAAACAGTGTTACGCATATAGGCAGCAGCAAGGCAGGTGGGCCTTAACATCCAGCTGCCCGTGTTGCTGTTATGTTTGAGGGGTCACCACCAGCTTGTGGTCCACTCTTGATGACCAGGAACCAGTAGATGCAACTCCCGATGACGACGCCACTGTGCAGCCAATCGCAGTGCCGGAAAATCAGGAGCACTGCCTGCTGACACTAGGGGGTTTATTTACTAAAGCTGGAGAGTCCAAAATCAGACTCCCTTATGCATAGAAACCAATCAGCTTCTAACCTCAGCTTGTTCAATGAAGCTTTGGCAATGAAACCTGGAAGCTGATTGGTTTCTATGCAGAAGGGAGTCTGATTTTGGACTCTCCAGCTTTAGTAAATAAACCCCTAGGTGTCATGACCTGTTGAAAGCAGCAGCTGTAGCCAGGTGTAAAGGGTTAAAATGCACAAGAAAGACTCTAAAGGGAGGAGGAGTGTGTATGTCTGGTGGGGGATAAGCCCCAGGTATAAGGTACTAAATGAAAATGTTGAATATATATGTATAATACATAAGGGGGGATATGATCACCATGTATAATACATAAGGGGGGATATGATCTCCATGTATAATACATAAGGGGGGATATGATCACCATGTATAATACATAAGGGGGGGATATGATCACCATGTATAATACATAAGGGGGGGATATGATCACCATGTATAATACATAAGGGGGGGATATGATCACCATGTATAATACATAAGGGGGGGATATGATCACCATGTATAATACATAACGGGGGGATATGATCACTATGTATAATACATAAGGGGGGGATATGATCACCATGTAGAATACATAAGGGGGGATATGATCTCCATGTAGAATACATAAGGGGGGGATATGATCTCCTTGTATAAAACATAAGGGGGATATGATCTCCACGTATAATACATAAGGGGGGATATGATCACCACGTATAATACATAAGGGGGATATGATCTCCATGTATAATACATAAGGGGGGATATGATCTCCATGTATAATACATAAGGGGGGGATATGATCTCCATGTATAATACATAAGGGGGGATATGATCTCCATGTATAATACATAAGGGGGGATATGATCTCCATGTATAATACATAAGGGGGGATATGATCACCATGTATAATACATAAGGGGGGATATGATCTCCATGTATAATACATAAGGGGGGATATGATCTCCATGTATAATACATAAGGGGGGATATGATCTCCATGTAGAATACATAAGGGGGGATATGATCTCCATGTAGAATACATAAGGGGGGATATGATCTCCATGTATAATACATAAGGGGGGATATGATCTCCATGTATAATACATAAGGGGGGGATATGATCTCCATGTATAATACATAAGGGGGGATATGATCACCATGTATAATACATAAGGGGGGATATGATCTCCATGTATAATGCATAAGGGGGGATATGATCACCATGTATAATACATAAGGGGGGATATGATCTCCATGTATAATACATAAGGGGGGATATGATCACCATGTATAATACATAAGGGGGGGATATGATCACCATGTATAATACATAAGGGGGGGATATGATCACCATGTATAATACATAAGGGGGGGATATGATCACCATGTATAATACATAAGGGGGGGATATGATCACCATGTATAATACATAACGGGGGGATATGATCACTATGTATAATACATAAGGGGGGATATGATCACCATGTAGAATACATAAGGGGGGATATGATCTCCATGTAGAATACATAAGGGGGGGATATGATCTCCTTGTATAAAACATAAGGGGGATATGATCTCCACGTATAATACATAAGGGGGGATATGATCACCACGTATAATACATAAGGGGGATATGATCTCCATGTATAATACATAAGGGGGGATATGATCTCCATGTATAATACATAAGGGGGGATATGATCTCCATGTATAATACATAAGGGGGGATATGATCTCCATGTATAATACATAAGGGGGGATATGATCTCCATGTATAATACATAAGGGGGGATATGATCACCATGTATAATACATAAGGGGGGATATGATCTCCATGTATAATACATAAGGGGGGATATGATCTCCATGTATAATACATAAGGGGGGATATGATCTCCATGTAGAATACATAAGGGGGGATATGATCTCCATGTAGAATACATAAGGGGGGATATGATCTCCATGTATAATACATAAGGGGGGATATGATCTCCATGTATAATACATAAGGGGGGGATATGATCTCCATGTATAATACATAAGGGGGGATATGATCACCATGTATAATACATAAGGGGGGATATGATCTCCATGTATAATGCATAAGGGGGATATGATCTCCATGTATAATACATAAGGGGGATATGATCTCCATGTATAATACATAAGGGGGGATATGATCACCATGTATAATACATAAGGGGGATATGATCACCATGTATAATACATAAGGGGGGATATGATCTCCATGTATAATACATAAGGGGGGATATGATCACCATGTATAATACATAAGGGGGGATATGATCACCATGTATAATACATAAGGGGGATATGATCTCCATGTATAATACATAAGGGGGGATATGATCTCCATGTATAATACATAAGGGGGGATATGATCTCCATGTATAATACATCAGTGGTTCATATAGTGAACTCGGTGTTGAGCTATTCCCCCTGAGGTCATCACAGAGGACAAGGGGGCACTCTTTACATCTGGAGGAAAAGAAATTTAGTCTCCAAACACGGAAAGGTTTCTTTACAGTGAGAACTGTGAGAATGTGAAATAGACTCCCTCAAGAGTTGGTTCTGGCCAGCTCAGTGGATTGCTTTAAGAAAGTCCTGGATGGACTTTTGTCTTTTTTCAGCCAGAGTAACTATGTAGCATAGCTATGGTATTGACTTGCCAATCTTACCAGAAGCTGCATTTTCTGTCCCATCAGAATCAACATTGGTGCTGCAGGAGTGTACAGTGTAACAGGGTTTAACAACAGGTAAACTATATGATACGACCATACAACAGTGTAGCACTCAAAAATATAAATACTCAACTAATACCACGTGAAGATATAAATGAAACATGCATATTGCTAAAAATCAACAAGATAGACAAATCATAAATGCGAATATTTCATACTCATGAATAAATATAAAGTGCAAATACTTCATGCTCATAATATAAAAAAAAAAAAAAACATCTAAACTATATAACCTATCATTTAAAACAATGAAAACCAGTGCCAACTATTATGCATGTATGTAGGCAGTTTTGATTTTCTGCCACCTTCTAGCTGTATCATGGATAACGTAAAAGGTGAAAATAGAAATGACTGGCAAAACACTGGGTGTCCTCTTTTTGTCATCTGCACAGAAAAAAGAAGAAGAAGCCAAGGAAGAAGAGGAGCCAGATGAGGAAGGCTGGGTGACAGTTACAAGGAAAGGACGCCGTCCAGGTTTAGCAAGAACCGAAGCTGCCAATATTCGAGTGACAGAAAAAGAAAAGAAGAAGAGAGGCCAGAAGGAACTGCTGAACTTCTATGCCTTTCAGAGTCGCAAAAGCAAAAAAGAATGTAGGTTTTCTCTTCTACAGCAGAAATATGTGCCTATGGGAATTACTTTTTTTTTATTTTGTATCAGGAAAGATAATAATGCTCAACCACAAAGTGTAGTAAGCGTAGGATCAGTTATTACTTGAAAATGAATGACATTTAGGATTTAGCCAGCAAACACTTTTTTTTTTCTCCATCACTGTACAGATCAGACCATATAAAGCAGAATGCATAAAGTGTGACTATAAATGACAATGATATTTGTGTATAACCACCTCGCCTCCCACACCTGTTCACCACTATGGACCAGAGCAATTTTTTACATTTCTGCTATGGGCCTGTCTATTCGGCAATAACTTTGTCATTACTTAAGATAACAATGTAATACATATAGTTTTGTTTAAGGATGTCTTGCAACAATGTTTTTTTTTTTTTTGCAATTATTATTATTATTACATCGAGTTTATATAGCGCCAAAGGGTTTGCTCAGCGCTGTACAATAGAGGATACAATTACAAATACAATTTTGCAATCCTTAGACAATTACCACTTGACCTCCAGAGGATTTACCCCCCTTAATGATCAGGCTTCTTTTTGCTACTCGGCGCTGCACTAATTCAACTGATAATTGCGCGGTCATGCAATGCTGCACCCAAACGAAATTTACGTCCTTTTTTTCACACAAATAGAGCTTTCTTTCGGTGGTATTTGATCATCTGTGCGCTTTTTATTTTTCACGCTATAAAAACAAAAAAAGGCTAAAAATTTTGAAGAAAAACAATATTTTTTAATTTCAGCTATAAAAAATATATAGTAAACTCAAAGTTGGTTATAAATTTAGGCCAAAATGTATTCTGCTCCATGTTTTTGGTAAAAAAAATCCCAATGAGTGTATATTGATTGTTTTGTGTGGAAGTTATAGCGTCTACAAACTATGGTATAGATACTGCAATTTACGCCATTTTTTTGCTATACAGTGCTGCGCTAGTTTAACGGACAATTGCGCGGTCATGCAATATGGTACATAAATTAAATTTACATCCTTTTTTTTCCCACAAATTGAGCTTTCTTTTGGTGGTATTTGATTGCCTGTGCGGTTTTTTATTTTTTGCGCTATAAAAAAAAAAGGCTGACAATTTTGAGGAAAAAAAAAAACAATATTTTGGACTTTTTGCTATAAAACATGTCCAGTAAAAAAAAATGCAAAAATCAAATTTAGTCATAAATATCTGCCAAAATGCATTCTGCGACATGTCTTTGCTAAAAAAAAAAAAAAAACCAATACGTGTAAATTAATTGGTTTACGTGAAAGTTATAGCGTTTACAAATGGCAGGAAAGATACTGGGATTTTTAGGGGTTTTTTTTTTTTTATACTAATAATGGCGGCGATCAGCGAATTATGGTGGCGATCAGTGACTTATGGCAGCGACCAGCGACTTATGGCGGGACTGCAGCGGATATTCTGACATTGAAGGGTACTGACTTGGGGTCACTGACATCCCCAAAAACACTAATACAGTGATCAGTGAAAAAAAAAAAAAAAACACTGACACTGTACTAATGGCACTGGGGAGGAAGGGGTTAACTTTATTTTGCAGGGAAGGGTTATAGGAGTGAGGGGAGTGTTTTACTAGGGGGCGGGGGGTGTGTGCTGCACGGGACATCACTGATCGAGAAAGAGAAACTCTTCTTTCTCGATCAGCTCGTCCTCGAGCTGTCAGGGAAGTGACAGACAGCACAGCTACTGCAGCTGTGCTCTCTGTCACTGTTTGCCGATGATCACCGGGAAACAGCCGGTAAGGACCGGCTGTGAACCGGCGACTGACATCCACAGCGGTGATCGGCGGGACAGATAGGGCGGCGGTGCGCCTCGCACGCGCCCCCTATCTGTTTACAAAACACGCGTTTTAAAACGTGGTTTTGCCTGCCCGTGCCGCCCTGCTGCCATATTTCTACAGTGGCAGGGCGGCAAGTGGTTAAACTTGAAGTTTTACTAAACCCACAACAGTACAATCAGTCTGTATATGCAGTAAAGCATGCTTGTTATACTCACTGTGGAATCTAATGGGTTAATACTCTGCACTGTGTGAAAAGGTTGTTTGATCCTTTCTTCTCCTTCTTCCAGTGTCCCCCTCTTATCTCCCGATAAGAGATATCATGTGGAGTCACTCTGCACATGCTCAATTTGTTGTGTATTGCTAGAAAGGTGTTTTTTTTTTTTTTCTCTTGGGAAAATGCATGTGATCAGCACAGAGCCAATCAGCAGGGTCCGGGGGTACTGCATTTTCCTAGAGCAGAAAGAAAACCCCTACAGGCTTTAACCAGTGCTCTGCTGGACACTGATAAAAGTCACAAGACTGCTATATACTGCTGATGAGCAAAGGTATTTAGCAGTTTATATTTACTAAAATAATTGCATTTCCATGTTGTGTGTACTGTGGGAGACCAGGTATAGTGAATGCAGGGTCCGGGGAGACCAGATATAGTGAATGCAGGGTTCGGGGAGACCGGATATAGTGAATGCAGGGTCCGGGGAGACCGGATATAGTGAATGCATGGTCCGGGGAGACCAGATATAGTGAATGCAGGGTCCGGGGAGACCAAATATAGTGAATGCAGGGTCCGGGGAGACCAAATATAGTGAATGCAGGGTCCGGGGAGACCGGATATAGTGAATGCAGGGTCCGGGGAGACCGGATATAGTGAATGCAGGGTTCGGGGAGACCAAATATAGTGAATGCAGGGTCCTGGGTTTAGTAACCCTTTAATTAGGGCTGATTAGATTAAACTAAGGGTTAATAAGAGCTGAAACTGAGGAACATTCAGTTCTTCTTTCTGTATTGGCTATGTGTTGTTGACATTGTCAGACTGCTTTTTTTTTGACAGCTCCAGCAGTCAGGACCTTCACTGTGTACTCAGCAGTGTGTTTGTGATAAGAGCTGAATTGCCATGTAATGGGACAGGGGGACTCCCGGCAGCAGAAGGACTGGACGTTCTATGCATGCACTGTGTAAAATGATGACATTTTTTTTTTACATATCTAACACGCCCAAAGTTTGCAGCTGATTAATATGAAGATAGTTTGTCTTTCAGAACCTTTATGGCTGAACTTGACATCCAGGCTGCAGAAAAATAAACTGTGTGATACTGAGGGATATCTAGCAAAAATTATATAGCAGCCTATTTAGGCTACCGGGCTTTGAAGAAATGAAACATTTTTAAAGCAGTAGTCAAGAAGCAGGCCAGGTCTGCAACAGGTAGACAGGCATAAACCACGGTCAGCGGAAAAGATGATTCAGCAGGTACAAAAAGAAGCTGGGTCAGGAACAGGCTGGGGCCGGGGTACAAGCTGGGTCAGGAACAGACTGGGGCCGGGGTACAAGCTGGGTCAGGAACAGGCTGTGGCCGGGGTACAAGCTGGGTCAGGAACAGGCTGGGGCCGGGATACAAGCTGGGTCACGAACAGGCTGTGGCCGGGATACAAGCTGGGTCACGAACAGGCTGTGGCCGGGATACAAGCTGGGTCACGAACAGGCTGTGGCCGAGGTACAAGCTGGGTCAGGAACAGGCTGTGGCCGGGGTACAAGCTGGGTCAGGAACAGGCTGTGGCCGGGATACAAGCTGGGTCAGGAACAGACTGGGGCCGGGGTACAAGCTGGGTCAGGAACAGGCTGTGGCCGGGGTACAAGCTGGGTCAGGAACAGGCTGGGGCCGGGATACAAGCTGGGTCACGAACAGGCTGTGGCCGGGATACAAGCTGGGTCACGAACAGGCTGTGGCCGGGATACAAGCTGGGTCACGAACAGGCTGTGGCCGAGGTACAAGCTGGGTCAGGAACAGGCTGTGGCCGGGGTACAAGCTGGGTCAGGAACAGGCTGTGGCCGGGATACAAGCTGGGTCAGGAACAGGCTGTGGCCGGGATACAAGCTGGGTCAGGAACAGGCTGTGGCCGGGATACAAGCTGGGTCAGGAACAGGCTGTGGCCGGGGTACAAGCTGGGTCAGGAACAGGCTGTGGCCGGGGTACAAGCTAGGTCAGGAACAGGCTGTGGCCGGAATACAAACAGCTGGGTCAGGAACAGGCTGTGGCCGGGATACAAGCTGGGTCAGGAACAGGCTGTGGCCGGGATACAAGCTGGGTCAGGAACAGGCTGTGGCCGGAATACAAGCTGGGTCAGGAACAGGCAGGATTATGCCCATGCGCACACCAAGTCGCTGGGAAAAATAGCAGCTTTCACATTGCCGTTTGATGTCACAACTCTGTTTACTCAGAGCCGACATTGAGGGCCCCCTTACACAGGGAATTCGGAACTGCTGAATCACAGGACTGCACCAGAGTGGGTTAAAAAAAAAAGGTTTTCTTTGTTCCTTTTTTTTTTTTTTTTTTTTTTAATACAGGCTATGCAGCATGGGGAGGAGAAAGAGGAATGGAACATTTTTAAGAATAGTTAGCCTTTACTACTACTTTTAGGTGATGAAGGAAATAAAAAATTGGGTCATCTTTTTTAGAACCCCAAATTTTAGCTTTTATCATACAGTGCAACACTCCATTAACCACTTGCCTACCGGGCACTTATACCCCCTTATTTACCAGGCCAATTTTCAGCTTTCAGCGCTGCCGCACTTTGATTGACAATTGCGCGGTCATGCAACAATGTACCCATATGAAATTTTGATCATTTTTTTCTCACAAATAGAGCTTTCTTTTGGTGGTATTTAATCGCCACTGGGCGCTTTACTTTTTGCGCTATAAATAAAAAAACTGCAAAAAATTTGAAAAAAAAAAAAGTTTCTTTGTTTCTATTATAAAATTTTTCAAACAGGTAATTTTTCTCCTTCACTGATGTGCGTTGATGAGGCAGCACTGATGGGCACTGATAGGCGGCACTGATAGGCAGCACTAAAGGGCACTGATAGGCAGTACTAATGAGGTGGCACGGATAGTCGGCACTGATAGACAGCACTAATGAGGTGTCACGGATATGCGGCACTAATATGCAGCACTGATAGGCGGCACTGATAGGTGACACTGATGATGGGTACTGATAGACGGCACTGACTGGCATCACTGCTGGGCACTGACTGGCACAACCGCTGGGCACTGACTGGCACTGACTGGCAGCACTGCTGGGCTGCACTGGTGGGT